GCATTGATATTTACCACAACCCTTACCTACTGCATTACTCTGAAAGTTGGTTAATTTGTTGATAATTAAATTTATATAGCTAGCCTGTTTGAAGATAATAAACACAATATGATAGCTGTTTTACACCTGGATAGTTGACTTGACAACCTCGTCACTTAATTATCATACTAAACGCACAGTGCTTGTGCGCACGTGAAACATATTGTGTTGATACGTAAATGTTTCTTGTGCGCACGTAATTGTCGCATTCACATGTATTAACTAAAATATTTCCTATGTTATTTTATGCAATTGTCACATATGATACGTATATTTTATTATCTGAATTTAATTTCATACTATCAGATTAATGCTATAGGCAAGGGAGGATATTTTGAATTTATATTCGTGAGAATTTTATAACTTTATTTTTAGAGATGGCACACTGTAGGAGATTCTTTTGTCAATTTACCTAGTTAAACAGTCTTAATAATAAATATTAATCTACACTATTGTTTATTGAAGGTATTTCATTCGTTGCTGAGATAGTTTTTAGAAACAATTGAAATTGAAACAAACAATAATCCAAATTTGTTAAGATTAACGTTTTTTTTTTATATAAATGAGAAGTATAGCTGAGTATTCCGCCCTTTTACTTAACTGGATATTCATTGTGCAAAGGACTATGAGGATCTACATCTGAGTAACAACCCTCCAATATTCTTACATAACTGCTTACTTACTAAGTGACCAGCTTTCCTCCCCCTTCACCATACACTTACACCCAAATACCCTACCTTACCTACCTCATACCACCCCTCTCCTTAACCCTTCCTTAAACTTATTTAATACACCTTAAAACCCCTACAAACAACCCCCACCCCTCTTTTTCCGAGTACCCTACCAACTACAACTTTCCAATTACCCTACACCCTTTACTTTTTCCCTTCTACTTCTTCCCCACCTTTACTACCCACCCACCATCCTTTCAACCTACATCACCTCTGATAACTCCCTCCCCCCTAACTACTTTAACCCCTAACTTAAATAAAACCCTACTTATCACCCCCCAACCCCCCCATTATACTCAATTTAATAATATTTTTAAACTTAAAACCCACTACAACCACAACTCCCCCTTAAACTTATTTTAACCCAACCCACTGTAACCCACTAACACAACCATTTTAACCTGACACCAACCAAACCACCACCACTAACATACCTCACCACCTCCACCCACTTACCTCACTCTTTTTCTCCCCAACTTAACACTCCCTTTTTATAAACAACTACCTTTACACTATAAACCTTAAACCCCATATACCCTATTAAACATACTCCTTTTCCCCAATACCCCCCACTCCCCCTACTTCCTTACAACTCACTACAACTAACTACAAACTAATATACACAACACCCCTAACTTTATATACCTATCTTACGACTCCTCCACACCCCCCCTATTAAACCTACCTCCCATATACACTCCCAACAACACCCTTTTTAGCCTTTTTTCAAACGAATTGACTCATTACTAACGATGCTAATAGTACATCGGTAAAACGATCAAAAATATTATGTCAGGCACTATTTCCCCAATAAATGTTATTTGCTATTAATATATTTAATCAATAAAACACTTCGTTTACATAGAACAAAGATACCATTAGCATTATATTACAGTGTGAAATAATTATATTCGTAAAGGTTTCAACAAAAACATATAACTTATCACCCGTCATAGATTAAACATTTCATTTAAATCCTGTGTAAATGGTTGCTTATAATGACAGTTCTTTTCCTAATAAATATAAAATAATTTATGAAATTTGCTTTAGAAAAAAAAAATGTATGAGGTATGTATACGCTAAAAAATGCTTGTGTATAGCTCTTTTTTGAAAGTTTAGATGATAACTATTTTCACGGACCACTATTTAAACAGCGATTTTTGAACTCTCTTTTTCAGATACACACATGCCAAAGGAAGATTGTATATCTGGAGATAACATTTCTACGTCACGAAATAGACACCGTTCACACTGGTCTACGTAACATTCCTATAGATGATTGATATATTATTTAAGTGCTTTAAGAACTGTGTTTGAATGACGAATTTCTGTGAATACGGATTTTTAGTTTTAATGATTATTATTAAAACTTTCTGTAATAATAGTAATCAATTTGTGCTATGACTCATTTTCCTAATATTAATATGTAATATGTGAATGTTAACACGAACAAAATGATATGAATATCTTTAAAATATTTTATGGGTGTAAACCAAGTGGCTTCGATAAACATCCATTGTTAAGATAAATAGAATCGAACTTCAAGTTGTAAGTTTGTTCTACATTTAAACAACCCGATGTAATTCATAGGGTTACCGGCTTGAAAATATCGAAAACATGTACATGTATTAACTCGATCTCTAAAGACAAAATATCGCAGTGCGATTTTTTTTCCACTGTGATACGTATTTCATGACTCTGTATCGCATCAAAATACCGGCTTATATCGCCGTTCCGTTTGCAACGCTACATTAATTTGTCCCTCTGGAATTAGGCTTGCAACAATATATGACTGTTGTAGCGAAGACATGTTTATTTTGTTTAATATATGTATACATATTATTATATGTTTATGAAGTAATAAATATTTAAGAGTGACTCGATTTGGTTTTAACTTTATTATTTGAAATACTCCAATTGTCAAGATAACGTTCTTAAGCATATGACTTTACAGTTCCCATTCAAAATGTGTAATAAAACATGTTCTATTGTACAAGTCTGCATTTTGGTCATGTATACGTGTCACTTATATGTAAATGCATGCTTTTGATATCATCTGTATCTTTCATTCTCCTTTTATCAAGAAAATACAGTTCTGTATTCCCTGTGGACAACTAAAAAAATGAAATTCCGTATATCCCTGTATATATTGAAAATACGATTCCGATATATCCCCTGTATATGGAGAAAATACCATTCCGTATATCTTCTGTATATGTAGAAAAACGATTCCGTATATCATCTGTATATGTGGAAAATACGAGTCCGTATATCCTCTGTATATGTAGAATATACGGTTCCGTATATCCTATGTATACGTAGAAAATACGAGTCCGTATATCCTCTGTATATGTAGAAAATACTGGTCCCGTATATCCTTGTTTATATTTATAGTATACTAGGGATAGCAACCTAAATATAGTCCGTATACGGATTTTATTATCCGTATACTTCAAAAAGTACGAACAAATATACGTAATGTATATGGGGCAAATACGGAATTCCGTATATTGCCTTATGCATATACGGACTTCCGTATACCCGGTGTTCCCTATACGGACTTCGTATAACTCACTTTTGGTCCGTTATATTCGACGAATACATCCCGTACACGCCCGTATATGTCAAAAATACGGGACCGTATATTCCCGTATATCAGTATATTTTTCGCAGTGTTTGTGACTCAAGTTGGAGTTGAAACAAAAATCCCTCTGTTCCAAAAGAGACATCTTAAAGGAACTCCACTAAGTTTTCTTGACATCATGGGACGAGAAATAATTTTTTGAGATTAACATTTCATTTGATGTCACTTGAGACCAATAACTCATGTGCAATGTTTCACTTTCCATTTTTCTAGATAAATTACTCTACTTGTGACAAATGACCTAAATTGAAAAGCGTTGTAATGCTTTTTACTAAAATCAGGTTAAGATTAGCACAAAATATGATTTTCAATTTATTTCTTGGCAGAGTTTATACTATATGAGCCGTGTCATGACAAAACCAACATAATGGGTTTGCGACCAGCATGGCATCCAGTCAGCATGCACATCCACGCAGTCTGATCAGGATCCATGCTGTTCAGCTATCAGTTTCTCTACTTGTAATAGGGGTTGGTAAGTGAACAGCATGGATCCTGATCAGACTGCGCGGATTGCGCAGGCTGGTCTGGATCCATGCTGGTCGCAAACCCATTATGTTGGTTTTGTTATGGCGCCAGCTCATACATATATATATGTAGATAAAAACTTTACCTGGAGACATGCAACTCAAAACTGAGTATAATCCTCTATGTTGTGGACAATTGTTGTACTCGGCAAACACTGCAGCCAGAGGATTCTGGATACCAGCTGATTGTTATTGTTTACTAAAAATAAACATTTATAATATTATAAATACATGTTAGTTTAATACTAAATTATTTTTAGGCTGATTGTGTTCAAAGCTCAACACTCTCGAATCCGTTCCTGGAACCAACCAGTACTAAGCACTGAGTGTAAGGTTTCTTGCTAACAGAATCAACAGCTTGCCCCTGATGAGGTTTGAACCCGCAAGGCCAGCAATCCTTAGATTACCAGACTGGCATGTTAACCACTCTGCCACGCCATCACATGTTAATATTGAAGAATTCAAAATTGCATGGCTTAAATATTTGAAACATTTAAATTTTATTACAATCTCTTGTCTGAATCAAAATCTTAATCCAAACAGAATGTACATCTCAATAATCTATTTCATAAAAAGAATTTGGAATAAGAATGAATGCAACTTTCAATTTCTTAACATATTTAATAACTTGGAAATGTCAAAAATTTTCAGTAAAAATAAACAGAACGTCAACTTTATTGTTTAAACACAGAATTAAAAACCTTAAACAATTTGTAATACATTAGATGGAATTAAAGAGTATTGTTTTGTTGGGTTTCAGGTCGCACAAACACTGTTGAGATCATATGGCGACTTTCTAGTTTTACTGGTAAAGAAAACCTAAGGTGCCCTTAAAACCTTAATTTAGCAGACACACATTGGCACCTGAGTAGACCTACTTATATTTTGTTAGCTTAATTGATGGCTTTCTCACGTGAAAGTATCTAACATCTCTGTAGAATACTATAAAAGAAGACCACACATACATCAAAATGTAGAAAATCAGGTTTTGATACGTACTTATTGTTACTTGCGTTTAACATCGGCGACTGTGTCCTGGGCGAGGGTAACAACCTGAATCATTTACACATCTGACTGATTCTACGTGCCGCACCGTAAGCTAGACGTCTCGATAACTGTGCTGATAATGTCACCTCATCAAGATACTGACAAAAAAAGAAGAAACAATATAAAACATTCATAAATACCTTAATCAGTGTTGCAAACAGTAGGTTTTAGCAAGCTAATCCTTAGGTACAAACAAACTTTTATAGCTGTAACTGTAAATGTTTGTATCTACGGATTAGCTAGGAAAAACCCAAATATTCTTAATTCCGGAGTTAGTCTATTAAAAATTGATGTAATTAACTTATCTAAGTCCATGCGGTCATAAATATTATGCAATAAATAAAATACCTGACAAATCTGGAACTTTTTTATATTTCAACTTCAAAATCATTGACACAATAACATGTGCAATCCACAAAGCCAAAGTAATAGTGTGGACTTGGAGTTTTAGATGATAGATTATCAAAACACTAGGGACAGGCAGATGATTAAATCACTACTAAATGTCCCGGCACTGTGAGATGCAAATATCCTGAACTTTTTTGGCATTTGAACAAAAACCCAAGTCTGAACCAAAGACTGTAGGGACAACCCACAAGACTTTAAAGACTTCGCCAGATGGTGCTGTGTCGGTAGTTTACCTCCGGAATTCGGTAGTAAGCAACCATTGAATTGCGACAAGCACAGTTCAGCCCCCATATCATGGGCTCAGTACCAATGCTTAATGTTAGCTCAGGTTCTCCTGTGTATTTTGGGGAAAGACAAGGAGGTAAGGAAATGGTGGGGGGGGGGGGGGAAGCGAAAGCACAGGTAGGCAAGGAGGAGGTACTAAGTATACAATTAAAGTATCAGCACAAATCAGAACCTGTAACAATTCTTTCAGCACCAGTTTTAGTATAGTATCATCAGTCTGTTTTTGTCTCTCCACTATCTCCACAATCCACGACAAAAACTCATGTCTGTCCAGTAGTCCCTCCTGTATATACATATACACTTTCAGTAAAATATTTAAACACTTGTCGCAAACACCTGTCATCTAATGTGCTTATTTTATAGTAACATCAGCTGTTGCAATCTTCATTAGTTTTGATGCTTGATAGTAAAACAAGAGCCATGTTGCAATTTTTTAAGTTCAGAGAGAGTTCAACTATTGCTCAGTGTTTGATATTTTACTTCAGGCCATGTAGACATGTTCTAAGTTCACAAAGAAGATAATTCACTAAAATCCAAAAGCTTTAGCCAGTAACCTGCAATTATTACCCTAAAATTGTCTAAAAATATTACAACATTCACAAATTTTGCAGTTGCCATGACATTTTTTTATATCCCAATTGATCTAATTTCAGGACCCAAACATTGCCAAAAAAAAGTTGACTCAGATATGGTTCCAAAACTGTTGAAAATCAAAATAAATCGACAATTCCATCGATTGTCAAGTTTATCAACATACACACATATAATATCACATATAAATATAATACATACATCATACATATGTCTCGCCAGTCGTGAACAGTAATGCCACTGTTTGAGCGCAAGATCAAGGTCAACCTGAGATGGCGCCTGAGTTGGCCGGTCCAGAAAAACTCATCACCGGGACCGGTAGAGCTACCATGGTAATGTTCCTGGAACCCTTAACTGTTCCTTTCATAAACTTTGTAAGACCTACTAGTCCATTCTGAAAAATTAAATTAAAGAATTTTTTATTTTAAAAGATTTTTGGATGGGTTTAAGTCGCACCAACACAGTAGAGGTCATATGGCAATTTTCTAGCTTCATTGGTGGAGTGCAATATATCAGGCACACACGGGTACAGGGGTAGAACCACCATTGTTCAATCAGCTAGCTGGATTGCTTTCTTACATGAAAGAATCGAAAGACACTAGTGCAGCTCGGATCACCAGTGATGAGAGGCAAGTGGTTTGAAGACAGTATCCTTAAGTACTTTATCAAGGACGACATCCTCTTTCCAAAACCCCCCGCTAAAAAAGATTTCATGACACATTGTTAACTTTGTAAGAACTATATACCCATGTAGGTCATCTCTGAGGAATACAAATTTACTAACTCCTAGTTTATGGGGTGTAGTCAATTATGCGAAGAAAAATATTTTGGACCAACGATGGTGGGAATACCATAAACAGTTATGTTTTAAATTATAACAGTTCATAAGTGATTTAGTATGAAACAATTATACAATGAATACTATTTTTTTTGTATTCTAAAACAATTTATCATCCGTTAGATATACATGTATAACTACATGTATATATGTAATATTTGGATCATATATCTCACAATTGTCCGACAACATCCACATATAATTCTTTCATCTGTTTGTTATTACACCTGATACTAAATACCATCAACAAAATTATTAATTTTATTGTATTATAGGCCTTCATTTACAGACCAATTCACTTTTATAACTCAATTTGATCTATACTATTTACCTAGTGACTGATCAACAGTTTGTCTTTTCTTTGGTTTATTCTCCTGCATGGCGAGGTAGTGTGCCGCCGTCATCTTGATGAACCACACGGCTTTTATCATCGGAATGTTAAACTCGCAAAGGTGGTGAATATTTCACTCTTTCTTACTGTTAGAAGAAGGACGGCACTCGTTTGCTTCAGGTGAGCCCTAGAGGCTTCGATCCGAGGCCAAATCTTTAAAACCAGTTCTCTACAAGAGGTTTCTTTGTTGTTGTTACCTGGGGAACAAAATTTATTAGTAAATCAACATACAGTCAAACCAGTAAACAAAGGTCATTCAAGGGAGACCAAACATGGCCTTTTTAGACAAGTGGGCTTTATTTGGAGCTTACTTTGAAGAGGGAGACCTAACATGGCCTTTATATACAATTGGCCTTTAATTTAAGGTTACTTTGGCTTTTTAATCACTGAAGGGATTGGTCAAAAGTGGCCCTTTATTTACAGGGTGATCCTCTTATCAGAAGGTGGCCTTTAAACACAGCGTATGACTGCTATTATACGAAAATGTTTATTTATAAAAAATAAATTAGACCAGCATTTAGGACAATCAAAATGGACCAGCATTAATGTCCAAATGGAAATTTAATAACAACATTTACAGGCATTCGATAATTTTATAACTTCGAGTTTTTACAACTTTGAAAGCAGGTGCTTTTTATTATCAACTCTATAACTTGGACGTCATTGAAGGCCTTTCCCAAGACTGAAATTTTCCACTAAAAACACCATGCACGGTTCTTCCCCAAAAAATTTTGAACCTTACATTAGCTTTTTTTACCTTCCCAAAATCAACAATTTAAGCAATAGTTTTTCCCAAAATCAAGAGGCTAAGGCCTCTTCCCAATTAAGAGAAAAAACACTAGAAAGAATCACTTATAATCATTATCTTTGCTTTATTTTAATCATTTTTAAACAGTTATTTTATTCATTTTCTTCTGAAAATAAACTAAGGCAAGAGAAATATTTTCTGAAAGCTAGGAAAGAATTAATAAATCTGATTCTTGATTTCATACTTTCCTAAGTCATATACAACTAAACACAAATCTATATAAACTATAAATCTACATACCGGCCAGAAATTATCTTTCATTATCTGAGGCTTCTTTTTGCAT